AATTTTCAAGCCGTTTTGCTGGATATTTTTATTCCACGATAGTGTTAGATGAAAGCGACATCCGTGTAACTTTATCTAAAGGCGAAACAGTTTTACATGAAAATTGAATAGTTTTCTCGAAATCTATTACAACATCGGGCGGTGATATCGTAATATTGTTTTGAAAACCATATTCACAAATTGATTTTAGGCAAAAAGTGCAAGATATTGTACTTTTATTGGATAGTAAACATATAACGAGTGTTATATAATAGCCGTTGATAAAACCATGTATTGTAAACATTTGTGTGAAGTAATTAGGGTAGTATGAAAATGTACCGCCCATGTAAAACCATTTTGTTATTGCAAGAGTATTTAAATTAGAAACGCAACTGAAAACTACACATTTGAACTCCTTGTTGTTTATTAATACAAATAACTCTTATCTATTTGTTTGAACACCGCGTTCGTCAAGAACTAATTGAACTTATTCAATAGATTAAGGGAGTGGAGGTCATTATAGGTTGGCTTACTTGTCAATCTGTTTTTACATATTACGTACCATGATCCTATAAACTTCCAGTAAAATATTTAAAAAAAAAACAATTTGGTTTGTACAATTATAATAGAGTAATTAAAATAGTATACTATTTCACATTAAGTTTACACTAATTATTTAATTTTTTATATATTTCAGACTGCAAGGGACGCTTTGCCGTTAAATGACCGGTTGGCCACGGCCACTGAAGCGTCCGAGGAATTAGAGCAGTAAGTCTTTTTAGACATTTTGTCAGTGGTTTCATAATTTCAGGTTCTTTAAAAATAACTATTTATATAAAATTAAAAAAAATTCTTTAATGATAAACAATAATCAAAATCCACAAAAGCTTAAAAAATTTTCGTTTTTAAAAAATTATCAAATTTATTTTTATAAAAAATGTACATTTAAATACAATATATTAAGTATAAAAAACCAATGAGGGGGAACTGTTAGCCACATGACTACTTTCCCTCAATTTGAATTTATTTGGAAAATATACTTTTCAAAATAAGAAAATAAAATATGTTAGAACATAAGTACTTACTAACCTTATATAGCTTGAATATAGTTCTAAATGAAATTAGTATTAACTATTTGGTTTTGCATGCTTATCTATTTCCTAATAACCTGTGTTTGTACATCTTTTTAATGTTTTGAAATTTGTAAATTTAAAGGATTAAAAACATACTAATAGAAGAAAAGCAACATGTGATAGCCAAATGTCAACAATATTACGAAGAAATAAGGCTTTTAGCAGTAACTGAAAATAGCCCACTAACAAGGGCCAGAAATAAAAAATTAAGATTGTGTTTGTCCAAATGTCAAGATTTAAAAATTTTTATAGAAGATCTGGAAAGTGGTCCTGAGGTAAGTACGGCCCTGTATGCCGGCTACATTTACGCTCGGTTCGCTTGGCACGGGCCGTTTTGTCGGCTATTCGATGCACCTGTTTTTTTGCGCGAGAGGCGTCCAGCCGACACATAATCGACTTGCGGTCATTTTTTTTTCTATAAAAACTATAAAGTTATCTAGATAAGATAACGGACAATTGAGTAATATATCATCTAGATAAGATATTGAATTATTCATTTAACATTTATCTAGCTAAAAGATAAAAGATAAATACAATTTTATCTAGATGAAAAATAGATAAATTATATTTTAACCTTCATAAAATATGTTATACGAAAATGTATGAGTAAACATTTTATATAAATACTTATATACTTTTGTGATATACACTTAGCAGAGAATTAAATATTAAAATTTGATAACTGCTACAAATGAATTACTTTTAAAACCGCAAACAAATATTACACTTAACATATTTTTCCAAAGTTTATATAATAGTATATCTATCTAACACAAATAATAAAAATAATTTGACAGTTAACAGTAATTTTTGATCCGTCAACCGACAGTATTTTGTAATATTTGCCATCCAGTAGATAATTTTGATTTTTATCGATCGCATTTGTAGACTCTGCTGGTTGTGACCCCGCAGGATTGTTAATTTGGTATTGATCACCCTCGTGACATCTTGTGATTTTTTTTGGTTTATTTAAAATGTTTGAAAGCGTACGAAAAGCTTTAGTTACTGACAATTTTATACCCAACTTGTCTGCGATATTTTCTACTATTTCAATACTCTATTCAGAATAAGAGCGGTCCGGGTTGCACATTTTATGTACCATGATCCTATACACTTGCAGTAAAATATTTAAAAAAACAATTTGATTTGTACAATTATAATAGAGTAATTAAAATAGTATATTATTACACATTAAGTTTACACTATTATTTAATTTTTTATATATTTCAGACTGCAGAGGACGCTTTGCCGTCTACGGCAGAAATGGAATTAGAGCGGTAAGTTTTTTTAGACATTTTGTCAGCGGTTTCATAATTTATAATAAATTCATTATTGACAAACAATGTTCAAAACCTATGAAAGATTTTTCATTGAATTTCATTTGGTGGGTTACTGGATATAAATATAGTTGGGCAACTAAATTTGATATACAGGGTGATCCAACTAACGTAAGACACTCATTTTCTCGGAAAATATGAATATTTTGAAAAAACATTTTTTCCTATTCTTTTAGGTATAAGTTTTACTACATTTTTCAATGCTTCGAAAATTTTTATTTTCATCCCTTATACGATAAAAAGGGTCTAAGTTCACGTTTTCAAATGGCAACATATGTTTTTAATTCCATAAATTTGTAGGCAAAAAATTTAAAAATATGTTATCGTTTGAATTATTAATTTTTATCCATCTAGTCGTTAGCTATGACTTTGTAAAGATATTACATTTTCTCTTAAATATTGTTATATTTCTTTGGTTTTCCAAAGACCGGGAGCCAATAAAATACTTATTTATGATCGCATTGTCCGATAGATGAGTACACAGATAACCAAACACAATAAAATGTTTTGTGATATTTTGTTTGACCAGCGTTTCATATTTATAGATTACCGACTTTTCTAACACACCGTCATGACAGGTAGGTTGACAGACCTATATTGACAGCAGCTAACGAATGGCTATTTAACCATAACAATCAAAAACCGTGGTACAAGTAGGTTGATAACTGCTGCTATGATGATAATACAAAATATTATTATCATTAGTTATCATATTTTTCTACTATCTATGTTCTACATTCAACAAGTAACAGCACAGTACAACAGATCATTATTATGCTATTTGAAAATTATAATTTTTAGTTTTTATAGGTAGTAAACAATAGCTTTAAAATTTGGCTTACAATCTCATAAGTGCATACATTGAATAGACACGCGTCGAGAAGCGTTACTATTATTTGTTTAGTTATGTTCAATTTATTCAAAATATGTTCTGTGCTCAAATAATTGTTTTAAACAATTTACACTAAATAAGGAATTTTGGATTTAATTTGCTTACTATTTTAATTCTACAGTAAATATTTAAAATGTTGCTTATTTTACATTTATAACTAACTTTTTTTTATTATATAAACAACTTTATTAATAAAAAATAATGCAATAAAGTGGACTGTGTTTAAATGATTAAGTTGTCTAAAGACTAGATGTTTGTAAACAGTGTTTTAGGAACCTACAACAAAATCACAGTTAAGTTTGAAATTGTATTAATTATCAACTTAATTTAAGCCGGTAGTTCCAAACTGTGATTTAAAGTACTTTTACTTTTTTTTCTGTTTTCCCCATCCTGTTGGCAAAAAAGATTTGATTTTTCTGTAACGGTAAATTTTTCAACATAATTGATATTTCATTTTTTTTTAAGTCAAGTTATTTCTTATTAAGATCCCGTTAATAAAAATATGGATCAATAGTTTGTGACTCAATTACACAAAATCACACAGTGATACTTAAACTTCAGAAATAAAGTTAGGGTTTGTGTCACGCAAACATTAAATTATCAGAACTTGTCTTTTTTATTTTATTAATAACTATTAAATTAAATAGTTTATATGTTCTTATATTTTTATTAGTACTTACTAATTATTATTATAACTTATAAGGTGTATAATGTTATAATAATAGTGATTCTAAAGCCTTTATAATAAAATATGTCTGTTTCAAAAATTTCAAATTGAAAAGTTAATTCTTTTACAGTTGAATCTGCTATTTTGATTTTATGTATAGTCAGTATTTTCTTATTTTTATTATTTTCTTCACTATTTAATATCTAGAAAATTAAAAGCTTAATAGATTTTAGTTGTTTAAAAAGAAAACCATTATTTGATATTTCCTTGTTTACTATACAAATTAAAGTATTGACATTATTAATCTATTATAACGGGTACGTTTTACTAAGATTATGTAAAAGTGGCAATATTAAATCAAAAATAGCCTTAGCTAAATTGTAGTATCTAAATTTAACAATTATTCTGTAATAAAACACATTATTAAGGATTTAAATTTTATGGAATTTGTACGCGACAAGTTTGTCCGATTTTATACACATACATACATGTATACTATATTTATGTATGAACACAAATAATTATAAAATCAATTATACTAACTTATAATGCATAGTTGTTAAAAATAAAATTTGTTTACCTTTAATGATGCAAATAATGGTTAAAAGAATATTTGCTGTAATGCGTATGCGACAATTTTCCTACTTTAAAAAGTTAAAAACAATTTTTATTAATTTTTACTGTGTATTTTACAAAATTTGAACATTGATAACACATAGTCAAACAATTGTGTTGATAAATTTCAACGACAAATATATAGTATAGTATAACATTTAAAGAACAATAATAATCTTTTGTCTGATAACATAAGTATTTAACTAATAAAATATTCATAAACTAATTATTAATACAACAATAAATTTAAAAATTACAAATGTTACTATTTTGAAAATATTCAATCAAAAATATTAAACAAAAACAATATCTATACATTTGAAATTGTTCAACTTCTATAATACTGATTTAAATTTTTTTCTTTTAACAATCGTTGGTAATTAAACAAATCTAACAAAATCAAAATTCAATAAATAAAATTAACTATAAGAATTATCTTAGGCAAGTTCAAAAAAATAATTTACTTGATTTACTGAATTCATTAAATACAAATTAATAGAATTACTACTTTTTAAAAGAGAGAATTATTGTATATTAATAAGTTTAATATAAAATTTAACTTTGATAGCCAAATACCTGTGTCAGTTATAGCTAAAACTTTATGATAAAATATCCGTAATGTATGTCAGACACACAATATATGGGTTATATCATTGTAAGAAATAACTAAACTGAAAGCAGACATTTGAACTACCTTAGATAAGTTTAATCAAATAAAAATAATATACTTACATATTATTATAAATATTGGTATAATCAAGAAGCGATTCCTTGTATGTAGTAGTATGAAATTCATACATTAATTACTGATATTTTTAAAAATAAATGAAACGGGTATATGAGTATTATCAACCCACATACACAAATACATGCATTAATAATTATTTTAAGTTAACACAACACACTTTTCATTCAAATTGCTTAGTGTTGATATTATACATTCACATGAAAAAATGTCACATTAGAAATAAATGTTTTATACTTATAATTTACACCTTGATATATAATTGTAAGGTCTTAGGTCCGATTGGAAAGACATTTCCATAGCAATTGATATGTCATACTCAAAACCAATTTTACATGATAACATTGGTTTTTAAAAGATGAAATATTTTCAGTAAAAAAGCATTCAACCTAAATTAAAAAAGCTAATTGAAATCGTATTGTATTAAATTACCCATTAAACTCTAATAAACTTACCTATTAAATTAATGCTTTATATTTATAATTTACACCTTGATATAAAATTGTTAGGTCTTCAGTCTTGGGTCCAATTGAAAAGACATTTCCATAGTAATTGGTATAGCCTATTCTCAACGCCATAGATATTTCTGACATGATAACATTGATTTTTAAATGATAAAAGATTTTCGGAAAAAAGCATTCAACCTAAAATAAAAAAGCTAATTGAATTCGTATTGTATTAAATTATCTATTAAACTTTAATAAACTTACCTATTAAATTAATGGTGTGTCCAAGAATGTAACGTCAAAATAAAGTCGAGAGCAAATATTATCAATTGATATATTTAAAAAATTATAAAATAACGAGTTATGACATAACTACAATACGCATGCTATCATATTTACTATAAAGTAAAATGTAAATTTACTAACATTTTTTAATTAAGTTTGCAATTTCTCATTTCACTAATGGAAAACGTGTGAACTTCGAAGTCGAAATTTGTTAGCGATGAGGTTATGTACAAATAATAAATATAATGTGATTTTGTACAAATAATAAAATATATTATTGGTACTGGTCACTCGATTATTCCGTGGTAACTGATGCATAGTTTAGATACTAGATTGTTATCCGAGATAACCAGCTAATGACTAGCTCCAGCTAGATTAGGTTAAAGTGTAAAGTCCGTTATCCGTAACAGTCTACCTTTCGTCTAATAATGTATGGTTATTTATTATATCTGATTATGATACGGAATGCGTTAACATCAAATTATTATTATATTTGATGTGATGACCGTCGTAATAAAACTACTTGTCTTTGTCGAATCGAATGAAATTATTAAGAAATATAGACAAAAATTCAAATCTTTACAAAGTCATAAACAGCGAACAAATGGATGAAAATTAAAAATTCAAACGCTAACATTTTTTTAGATTTTTTGTCTTTATATTTATGGAATTTAAAACATATGTTCCCATTTGAAAAAACGAGGTTCGTACTTATTTAACGTATAAGGGTTGAAGATAAAATTTTTCTAAATATTGAAAAATGTAGCTAAATATGTACCTAAAATTTTAGGGAAAAAAAAATTCGCAAAATATTCATACTTTCAGAGAAAATGAGTGTCTTACGTTAGTTGGATCACCCTGTATAGTATATATTTCCACCGAAAATAAATGTTTTTTATATCTATATTTAAAACTAACAATAGTTAATCTAAGTAATTTAAGTATATTTAGATTTGATTACATAAATAATATGATGTGCATCTGTTAGATTTAAATCTCCTATTATTTTTGGAACGAAGTTCCTTATCGCGGGTTGGCGAGGGGACCTAGCCAAGAAAAAATGTAACGCATTATAAAAACTATATGTGGTGCGGTCGAGCGTGATCGGTTCCCAGGAGTGAGTGATACCGGGTTCATCAATTGGGCTCCCTCTCAACACTTTTTGCATTTATTTACAACTTTTATAGTAATTTATATCGCAAGAAGTCTAAAAACTTATAAAATATATATATTTTATACAACAGAATACATTTTTACCCCTAAAAGTACTAGGTCACCTACATTGCATTCGGTTTTCGTCATTTATTATACTTCTCGTACTGATGATTAAATACAATTTTTTTTTATATAATTGCAATATTTTAGAATTCAACCTGTAAAGTTGTAGGACTAAATAATACTGAAATATAATGTAAATTAATTTTTCATGATACATATTATAATTTGGTTTGAGAAAATTATGAAAATTAATAATTATCATTGATATACGTCTAAAATATGTTACCTCATTACATTTCATTAAGTTAATAACCGTTAGTACCAAAGTAACATGAGTAATATTGTACGATCTCCGGCGTTGACTCGACGGTCAACTGAATCAAAAATAGGTGATCAACTAATTTTGAGTCTTCCGTCTTGTTCGAATCAATGAATCGTTTTTAACCCTTAACTGGGCAATGTATATTTTTGGATACTTATAAGGTAGCGCAACAACAAGATGATCAACTATATTTAAATATCGATATTTTTATTAAGAATCGATATCATCTCATGCAGGCTGCACTAGGAATGGGCGTACGTACAGTTCGAGTTTATTGATTATTTAATATCGATACAATCATCCAGTTGCAATATAATGTTAATAACATTATATTTTATACTTATCGATATTTAGATACATCGTTATAGTTTTATCAATATCAATAAAAATATATCAATCTATCTGGGCAGTGGCGTCAATTTTTATGGGCTGGTCAAATTTTCGATACATAAGGCCGTAAATTATCTGTTTTTTATGCAACTACCTACATTAACTTACCCTATAATAAACCGTCTGAACTGACTACCAAGTATAATAGGTATGAAGATTTATAATACTTGTATTATTACTGTTTTGAATCTAAGTGTTTTGGAAAAAATATTTATATTTGTAAAAATGTTGCCCCACCCTAAGAAAAACTGAAATGTCGCCCCTGTATCTGGGTCATTATTATCATGTAGGTCATGCTTAATAAAAATGGAATAAATAAAAATATGAATTTCAATAATAATAGTGTTTATATAATGAAGCTATATCATATGTCCTAAACTGAGATATTATATCCCTACCTACAATTATTAGACAGCTTTAGTTGTAGATGAAATAACACATTGGATATAATGTATTCCAAATTTGTGAGTTGATATATCACAGTGACACACCGAAAACGGCCAATTTTGCTGTGTAAAATCCTCCATTAGAGCAGAGGTTCTAGAAGTGGGTCCAGAAGCAAGAGCGTCAACTTCCCAAAATAATCTTTGATAATCTTGTACACTATGTTTTTAAAAAAAATGTAATTCTTTGAATTACTTGTTTTTCTTTTGATATTATGGAATTTTAACAAATTAAAAATCATTTTTGAAATATATTTTGGCGGTAATACGAGTAATAAATTGTTTTTGTCTGTAAATTCTTATATACATAATATTTTACGTGTTGTGCTAACGTATACATATTGTACATTAACTTATAATAATAATTTAAAAAAACATAAAGGATTACTAAAAAATAGTAGCCACACATTTTCATAGGCCCTAGGCACAGTGCCTATGCGCCAATACGGCCTGTACATAAGGGCCCCAGACCTCTCTGATACCTTCGCTTGTGGGGGCACTGGTATTTGGTGTCATATTGTCATGATATGGATATATAGTAGTAAACCACAAATAAAATACGTAGGCATAGAATGGGATGTACTTTGGACAACCATTGGTTACGGACATTATTATGTCCAAATAACTGAAATTCGGATTTTTTCTTGGACAACCTATACCCGCCGGAGACATCCTCAGAATAATCAAAGAATGACAGACATATTGCTTACAAGATTTTATGTAAAAAGACGGAATTCCGTCGCTTTAAATGTTAATAATAGAGTTTTTTTTAAAGAAAATTATCGGTGTACATTGAAATACTTAAACGAAAATTATTTTCAATAATATTATAAATCGTCAATATCCCATTATTTCTGTATGTATTAAATTCGCAACGGTTACAGACTATTTTTGGAGATTTATTAGGTTTCTAGTCAAAACAAACACCTTCCTTCGCCACCCCATAACCCTTCTGTTGTCCATTCGATTGGACGCCTCAGTCAGCGGTGGCTTTAAATTTTTGTTTTGTTTATAAGAAGATAAGTTATACAGAATGTACCTAACACCCAGTGACAACTGAATATTAAAAACTCATCACTACAAACAAATATTTTCGAGGGCTTAATTTCTAAACTCTACATATTATTATTTCAAAAATAATTTGTTGATTTATCTATTAAATAAAATAAAAATGCTGCGCTACCTAATAACAATATTAAACTTTTATTCAAACAAACACCAATCATTTTTGGGTACTTCTTTGCACGTTCTGTATACTATGTACAACATACATACCTACTTAAATTTTTGTGTATATAGTAGCTCAAAAGGGATGAATGGGGTTGCCTAGTAATACCAAAGAGTTACTGTAGTGTCAAATGTGTAATGTATGTATAATGTTGATAATTTGAAAACTTAAATAATTTAAAAAAGTTCCTTTTTCGGTTATCATTAGTACTAAAACTAGAATTGCCTCACCGGTGCAACAAACAGTTAACTAAACAAAATACAAAATAAAATTCACACACAACAAATTAACTTAATTTCTGGCCAAGGGTGTAGCGAAGTCATTGTTCCCAAGTCCATTCGGCCGACTGACTTAACAAAAACAAAATGTACACGCACAAGAACTAATTAGTCATTTTTTTTCCCCTTACTTTTTAATTTTCTCAATGTTCTTATGTTAAAATTTTAAAACTAATATATACGCAAAAATGGGAATACTTTTAAATGAATATATTTATAAAAAAAAATGCAATGGATACAAAAAGTGGTTAAATGTTATTTCATATTTTTTTTTAGAACCGCCATTGTTAAGACCATTTTTTAATAAATAATAATATAATTTTACTTAATACTAATAAAGAATAACAAATATACGAAGTAAAACAGGGCTGTGTATACTTTCGTACCTAAGAAGGTATATTTGGCAGGTAATTCATCCGGCGCGGCAACTTTAAAACATTAACTTCCATTTTGTACCTATACACTTAGCAATACGTACTAAAAAATATATAGATTATAGGTGATACCTACACGCATTTATAAAATAAACAAAGATAACAGTTCAATAATAGGTAAACAGTTTTCTAGAGATAATAAAATATCGTTTTTTTGGTGGTGAAAAATATACGTTCGGACTTTTTGTCTCTTTCAAAATGCCATCTGGAAATATTTTTTAAAAACAGCCTCGTTTGAGTCGTTAGCTAATAATTACTCCTTAATAATATGTCATGCTGGCAGCACAACTAACACCATTAATAATCGTATATTGTATACAAGTATTGTTAGTGTTGGCACTACTGAGAGGCGGTTTTTTTAGGGGTGGCGTTTTGTCCGGCGGCGTTTTGTCGATTTTTTATCCGGCGACGTTTTGTCGATTTTTTGTCCGGCGACGTTTTGTCGGGCGACCTTTTGTCGTGTTTCCAGTGGCTCCGTGTCGAGTGGCTCTTTGAGGTGTAACCACGAAAAACTGTTGTTGGTCACACTGCCGACCGCCATTGTTTGACACGGAGTTGCACGCGGCTGCCGCGCCACTAACCACGTCTATCACGCCGCATCGTATCATTGACCACACTGTCACAAGCGGCATAATTCAACCGTTCAACCGATCGAAGCGTTCGCCGTTCACTAATCATTGTCAGACCAGTCACCAGGTGTGTCGTTTGTCAGTCCCGAGTTGCACGCTTTTTCGAACGTTCCGTTCGTTATCTCGTCGCCCGTTCATCGAGTAATTTGGATTTCCTTCACCGTCCAACACTAAAATGGTTTACCTCGTCACCGACGCCGTAAGTATTGTTATGTTGGTGTTTGTGCAGTAGGCACATGTCAAAGCTCGATCGCAATTAGTTAGACAAGTATAATTAGGTACGTATAATCGCGTTGGCCGTCGGACGGACTTCCGCGACACGGGTTTGCGCTGTTGTACGCAGTCGGTGCAAGGTCGTTATGTAACCACCGCTTGCTTCTCTACAGGCGAATTCGTGGAGGATCCCGGTGGGTCAGTGCGGAGAGTGGAGGGTTCATTTTAATTTGGCCTCCGAACTGTGAGCGGGAGGGGAGTAATTGGCGTTTTTAATTTGGATATCTATCGAGCACACACGCACTACAATAATATTATAACATGACGACGATTTCTCCCCATGTGATCCGCCGCCACAGCTCGCAAAGTGGTTGGGCTTTCTGACTTGCCTATGGTTTCAACGGCAGCGACACGAACAGCTATTGTAATAATTGCTAGATATCCGTCGGTGCGAGCTCATCGATTAGTTACGAAACTACGTATGGATTTAGAAAATTAATTTTGGAAATACCCAATTATATTTTACACGCTTGTTAATAGTCATTACTGCTATGCAGTTAAATTGTTTAGTTTAATAATTATTATGCCTCTGAAAAACATATTAAACTGTCCTACGGGTAGCTAAGTGTTAAATTATATTAACGGCTCATCTAGTTGAAAATTTCCCTCTAGATGACGACCGTCTATTTTTAGTAATAATTATACAAATGCAGTAATTGGCTTACTTTCCATTGTATGTCTATTTATAAGTAATTATAACTATTTTACCTTTCTACATAATCTCTTAATAAATGTAATTATATATTATACCATTATAAGTTGATCAATTTGATCATTTACCTAAGTTGTTTTTATATATTGCCATTACAATAATAATCTGTTAATTGATTATTATTTTTTATTTCATATGGTATATATAGTAATAATGTTTTTCTGCATAATATTAGTTAATTATTAAAAAATTCACTTTACCAGGCACTCTTTTTTTGCCATACTAGTGTTTTTTTACACTGATTACGAACCTGAAGTCAGAATTAGGCAAACTCCTTTAGTTCAAAAGTTATAGCTACTTGAAATTTGCATATTTCCGTGTATATAACAATAGGCAGAGGTCTAAATAAATACCATTATTGGTATTTTTCTTCCGCTTTTAATAAAACCCAATCATGGAAATAGTGGCGCCAAAAATTAGTGTCTGATGTGGTAAATGTGCTGATCTGTACTTAGTGGTATATGGTCATACTATAGAATTAAATATTAATAATATTTGCATGTTATGAGTGAATTTTTTTTTGGTGGGTGGATGTAAAATATGTTTTTTCTCAGATGATAGTAGATGGTTCAGCACCACTGGTGTATGATATATAATAAATACTGTTTTCATGATAAGATATTACCTAACCGACTGAAATAACAGTATTACTCATACATGCAAAAACCAATGAGTTTATAATAATAAAAACAACTAATTAAATCATTATTTATCAGTGACTACATATTTTTCAACAAGATATCGATTGCATAGTTTTAAACCGGAAATAGTAATAATATATTATACTTTTTTTTTGACCTCTTGACATATGTTCCGGCTGTTGTGGATATTATTCATTGTTTGTTTTTCTAAATATGTAAATAAAAAATATTATTATTGAAATAAAACTGACTTGTACACAAGTAATGTTTTGTACAAGAACAAAGTATGAGTTGTCATAAAAATATTAAAACTAACATAAGATGATTTCATGTTTGTTTGCAAAATACAGGGTGATTCTTTTATCATGAACCACTCAATATATCATAGGGTTTAATGAGAAATTAAAAAATTTTTTTTTTTCATATTGTTATACAATGTGATCTCAATTTTTCACTATTTTTTTTGTTTTTAACCCTCTCCCAACTCTCCCAGTTTTTTTGATAGCAACTTTTGAAACTTAAATGGTAACGTATATATTTTATCAACTTTTTAAATTGAGAAAAATGTACTAAACATTTTGACTGGTCGATAACCAGTTTTGGATTATTTTTAAAGTTATAAGAGTTTTACAGTTAGGATGGGAGGGAGTTAGGATGCGCGCAGATAAAAATAATACCACATCAAATTTTCAACATTTATACTATATTGATGCATACCCGCGGTCGTTTAATTTTGATGGCATTGTTTTTAGAAACGCTTGTTTGTTCCCCCTGAACGATTTCTATTATTATATGTCCTTTTAAAAAAAAAAACTATCTATGTATATATTTTATTTTACACAGCCTAAGTTAGTTGTGTTTTACAAAATCTAAATACTTTACTAATTAATACATTTATATTTTGTTATAGGCCGACTTAGCTGCCAAGCTGACCGACGCCAAGGGAAAGTTAGTAATCATCGACTTCTTTGCCAAATGGTGTGGTCCGTGCAAACTGATTGCTCCATATATTGAAGTAATTCTCATTCTTCAGTAATTTAATTTATGAAATATTATAAAAAAAGCTTTTTTTATTCTCTTTTATTATATATTATACAGGGTGCGAAAAAAAGATCTGACGGTTTTCCGTTTGTTTTTAATGGAAAACCGTCAGATCATTTTGCCACACCCTGTATTATGTATTTCTTTAAAAATAAAATTGTCTTAATGCTTAGATTATAATATAAGTAACTAATAGTTTGGGCTAAAAACCATCTTCAGATTACTTATATAAATAATAAAAAATTCTACCATGAATTTTGACAACAAAAGAAAATGACTTTTAGTCAAAACTATTAGTTTTATTTATGATTTATTCTAATACATACATTCCAACTCTAATACATAATTAATAAAAATACATTTTTTTTTTAGGAGTTGGCAAACGAATTCCCAGATGTTGTTATGTTAAAAGTTGACGTTGACGAATGCGAAGAAGCTTCATTGGAATACAACATTCAATCAATGCCTACCTTTGTCTTTGTAAAATCTAAAGCTGAGGCAAGTTATCAACTCAATAACGTTACATCTATGATTTAAATGAATAGATTTATAATTCTTTTTATATATATTTAGGTTGATCGATTTTCCGGGGCAAACAGAGACAAGTTAAAGGAAACCTTAGTAAAGAACAAATAATACCAACGCTGGCGTCAACCAAAAACACCAGAACATGGGCCTACTTAAAACAATATTATAAATTAAAAACATTTTTTTTTTTTACACTGAAATAGAATAATAGATTTTATGTTATTTGCAAATTATATTTGGAAAAAATTATTACAAAAATACAATAAATTTATATATTATAATATTTAGGATGTTGTTACGATATCGAGCCCATGTATTGCTGCAATGCTAGTACTCACCAATAACAGAGAAAAAATTATAATCGTACGACGTAACACACTATATTAAACACTTTTAATTAAAAATAATTTTTGAGTGTCCGCAAACTACAAATTAATTACCTATTTGTGATGTTAAATAGATTATTAAATCACACAACTTGTTGTTTGCTTTAAAACTGTATTTTTTTTTTTACTTGTACGTCTATCTGTTTGCTAATAAATCAAGAAACATTAAAACAGTTGTAATTATATTAACAATGATAAAATGTTAATCTGTTAAAAATTATGTTATTCCAATAAAAAATCTATAAAAAAAACTAGTATTCGAACGTACTGACGGCTCAGTATGCATGCGTGAAAGTGGGCAAACTTAAACTGAATAAAGTATAGTAATAACCAGTTCAATCTTATTTAAGTCAATTTTTTTGTAATATTGCTAACAAAATAATAAATCCCCAGTATGCCTCAAGTAAACTGGAGAAAAACAAAACATTATCTAGTAAAATGGTGAAAATTTCAATTTTTCAAAAATGTCTATGGAAAATACTTTATTATCATAACATAATATAATGGCAGTAAAGTTTTTTTATACAAAATTGTTAACAATAATAAACTTTTGTACTTTATTTTAACAAAAGTGCAGTTATATTTCAAAGTAGTTTACAAGAACAGAGAATGAACCAAAATAAACTAATACTATTTATATACTCTACACCTAAATAATGTGTACACAATCATAACAATACGATTAACTACGATTGTTTAAATCGTCGTTGGTGGTGTACCCAGTGCTTGGCGTACCCTTTCTCCCTTCGGCGGCTAAAGTAACTGGCGGCCTTGTATCGTGAGGATTAAGGCCAGTCCATGTTCGATTTTGCGTAACTACTGACAGAGACATGTCAGTTCTAATGTTGAGCGCTAACGAAGCTTGTGTTTCGTTATCGTTTAGCATTGAGATATTCCTTAATTTATTGGTAACCAAAGATACATCGGGTATATCTGAAATAAAAGTGTACCGTAGTAAAAAATAATTAATCATACGTGTTGTTTACTTACTATTAAACTCTTGGGTTCCTAGTGCAAGTTCAAAATCGTCGATGTTCACAATCGGTTGCAAAAATTCTTTTTGATTTTCAATTACTCCTTCAATACAAGTAATATTCACAAAAACTTCGACCTAAATACATTTCATAATTACTATCAACACTTAATTACAACTACTAAGACGTTTTAAAAAAACTTAACCTCCGGAAAATTGGCCAACTTGGCGACGTTAGGTCGTCCGACTGAAAATATATAACTTTTTTTGTTGCGAGCCTTGCACAGACTCTTTACTAGGTTGATGCGATCAATCAAATCTTTTATACTCAAACTACATACAAGTATTCCAAAATGAGTACAATCTTTTAATTTTTCGTGAATATAATATTTCTTCCTAATCGTTTGGGCTAATGTTTCTTGTACTAAGCTTTCACAATCGCTTTTGTAGAGGTATACCTCACAATCTAACAAAAAAATTGACAATTGTAATTATTTAGATGGACTGATATAGATTAGGTAGTACACTTTTTTTAATTTTAACAGAGTATTATACATTACCTCGTTTGTTCAATATAAAGCGATTCACATTATTCATGTAATCATCATGCGTAATATAAACTATATATTTATACTGTACATTTTGAAATTGTCTACCAAACAATTTAACAATATTTGGGTCATTTTCGTTTTCAGGTAGATCGAGATTAGACATTATAATTGAATTAATAGAAGATAGAGATTCTGCTAAACTGTCTGGAAAAAAAAAGTATAATAAAGTAAATGAAATGTTTAAAATTAAAAAAAAAGTATGTAATTTATTTTACCTCTAATGTGATGGTACACGACATCGTATAAAACTAAAATTGGTTCTTTAACTGTTCCAAATTTTTCGTGTATCATACTTGAACATTTTGTGAGATCTAATGATTTTTTTGGTAAAATGAAATATACTGGAAGCCGACCAGTCGGAGTTAGACACGCACGTCCAAAATGTATCACACAGTCAGCAGCCACATGTTGAGCGGCTGTTTCATCAACGCAACAGCTATAATCATTCACCAGACATAAAAAATAAACAAAACAGGATATGATCACAACAGTATCTAGTACAAAAAAAAACTGTGTCTTTTACCTGCCGTAAGACGTATCGCCAAGTATGTAAACACGGTGGCCCAACAACTTTTCAAATTCATTTGAAATATCTACACTCAATTTTAACATATCGTCTGGCAATTGAACGCATACCTTTGGTAAGAATTAAATAATATATATTATTATATGTATTGTTAAAACTAGAAATTAAGATTTGTCTTCCGAAATATTTTTACTTTTTCAAAATTGCCGTTTTTGATCCACTCGACACAGCTTTCTATTTGGCTGGTATAATCCATACTCGTAAAAGTCCAAAAAACTTCAAAAAACAGCAAAATACGAACAACTGTGATACATTTTTCAATTTTTAAACAAAACAATTATTAACTGTATCATTTTGAAATTAAAATTGAAAAAAATAGTGTTGGGTAATTATGTTCAATAATATTACAAGAACTATTAAATAAGATCTAAGACTAAACTGAATCTGTAGTCTGTACTTAGAAAGTAAAAATAATAATTTTTACAATTTCGATTCCATTTGAAAAAAGGGTTTTAGGTTAAAGACTAATGTGCAAATTGTGATAACACGACTTCCGTTTATCAGATAAACTAATAAGTGATAACAGTTAATAATTTTATAAAAATTTCAAATTTTTTTGGAACGACAGTCAAATGTCAACAAACGTTTTTTGAATTATTTTCCCGTATTCCTAATCTGGCCTCAGAATTTCTCTAGGATTTCTATAAAATACCTGTCTTTTTTAAATCGCCTACGAATTTGTTTAGTATACTGCTTTGTAGTATTTTCGGCTTGTTTTCTACGTTTATAAACATTCTCTAAAACGTATTTCACATGAAGTTTTTTTATTTTATTTTCATTAGTTAAGCTTAGAACTTAAATCTCAAAATGAATGTTTAATTTTTGGTTGTTTTTTTTATAAACGAAAGAATTGTAGGAGACTATTTGAAAAGCAAAGTAATGTGAACTGTTTTCCAACAAATGTATTATAATATTTAATGAGATTTGTTCCAAAAAATTATATTAAATAATGTTGCTAACCTATTCTAACACTATTTTATAGTTTGAACATAAATGATTTTACTGTACAACAAAGTTTCGTCTGTTATTCTAAACATTTTATTGGAAAGTTTATTAAAAAATGAATAGTTAACATACAAAAAATGTATCACTACCTGATTACTACCTTCTTGTCTGCATATAGATGTTAAAATTATATATTTAAAAAAAAATTCCAACGTAATAAAAAATTATTTATTTTGTGTGACTGTGTAACAAAAGATTAAAATAATATAGCTACAATAATTACTATTATACTTATATTTCATTACATTACACAACAAAACTTATGTTTGCACTTGAAAAAAGTAGTAAGTGTTCTGATATTTGATAATTTGATATAATCTTTGTTTACTTACAATTGAAGAGTAACTGAGTGACAGGCTTCGTCGAGAATAAATAACTATTCCGTAGGTTAGGTTATTGTTTAACTTGTTAAGAAAACATTTATTTAATATTTTAAGAACAAATAAAAATAACATTTGTAGCATATGATTTTAGAAAAATTTCTGTAACAAAACTTATTCATATAGAATTAGGTAATAAATATAAAAAATATTGTAAAGAAATTCAACTCTTCTTCGATTTGTGGTCGAGCCAAGTGTTGATTTGTTTTATTCGTGTTGTCCACCAATCTTTTTGTTCTTTGACGATTTCGGAATAATTTTCCACACTATCGGTGAGAAAAAAAAATACATTTACCAAAACTCATTATACAATAATAAAGCAAGAAATTATATTTAATTTTGGTAGACGTGCAACTAATGGCACAAAATCGGGGTTTAAAAATGGAAATAAATAAGGTTAAACGTAATTATGTTTATAAGTTAATTTTTTTTTAATCAACATATATTATTCACGAAAAATGCAAGAGTAAAAAATATTTTTGGAAATTTTGGTTCACTTAATTTGTTTTGTTATGCTTTCGGTAGTTTGTCTTTTGAAATGACAAAACATCTTATAATACAATACAAAACATTACGTTAACTGATATGTGTAAATTATTGCTAATATTTTTTGTTTTCTGTTTATTGATTATGTTTTGTGAAATTTTCCATTTTAAGTATTACTATTTCTGGGATCACTTTATTACGACTCGTTGCACAACCATGTTATCTATAGCCGCGATGATGAATAACTTTATTGAAACCCTGCTCAAAAGTAATTCTTGGTCTTTGTTTTAGCGGGTCAAAAGGATTTAACAGATTATATTTTGTATTAATATTTATATATTATAATATGTGAATTTGTTGTTATTTCCTTGTGACCTACGCTATATCGTAAAAACGTATAATTACCATTCTAAAACTCCGTCGCTGTCAGTAGCTATTAGTTTCCATTTTTTAGTTTCGTCCAAGACCGCCACAGATGTCATCGCGTCGTAAACTTCCTCAGATGGTGCGTTGAACATTTTCGCAAGACAATTCCGATTAACTGCCTGATTTGTGTCTAACATAAATATCTAAAAGAATAAAATATCAAGACCTAACTTAATATTATTCATTTCTAGAAAATAAAAAAAAGAAACAACAAAGCCTCTTTACAATATAGTCTCTTAAGAAGCGCATAACTTCAAATGATAACCCGTAGTGAACAGAAATTGTATTCTCCGGATAAAGAATTTCGCTCTTGATTGTCCAATTGCTGCGAACTAACATAGCGACTTTTTGCAATGGAACCAAAAGAGTAGAAATACTTTCGTCAGCGGCAACACCGCAAACTTTTAAGAGATCCATAAGTTTTTGTGTTGATATCATTTTAGCTAGAAATCAAACATTGTAATGTATAAAAATATTTAACTATAGTGAATATACCAAACAGTTTAATCTTATTGGCATACTCACTGTTAAACAAAAGTATTTTTATTTTATTTTCCAAAGAATACTGTTTTATTTTTTCATGAGACAATTGTCTTGCTTTAATTGGATTGACGACTTCGTTTAATATACTTTTTTCTTTGGTAGTAATTTCAAGAACGGTATCTTTATCTTTATTAGGAACAACGGATGATTTAGGTTGCATGAACTTGTCTAATTCGATCTGAAATAACAAACTTATATTAACCCTTAAATTGAAATTGTATCTTTAAAGTTACAAACGTTTTATAAATAACTTTCCATGACCAACCTAAAAATTACTATTATTTTAATTACTTTTGATATTTAAAAACTAGCCCTTGCCAAGTAAGAATAAGGATTTCATTTTTTTAAATTATAATATTTACCCTAGAATAATATTGGCCGTTAGGCACAAAATTCAAATTTAACCAAGGTTCCATCGCTCTTTGTTTAACCATTTCTTGCATTTTTTTCTTTTCACTTTTTTTTCCAGGTCTATCTTTAAACTTGGCCATGATCTGTTCACTTTCTTCATCTTCTTCTTCCGATGCTTCTTAATAATTGATATGGTAAGAAAATAATTCATTACTATAACAGTTTTTCATAAACAAATCGTGTATTACCATTTTGCTCTTGAGATACTCTTTTACTATCATTTTTTGGATCAATTTTGTCAATGTGACTTAATTTAGGTAACATGTTGACATTTTTTTTTAACGGACACAAATGCATACTTTTCCCAGAAGCATACATAATCATGTCGACTGTATTCGATGTAATAGCGTGTGACTCAAAACTTAAATGATCAACCATTCCACTAAAACATATAAACATATGCAAAAATGAAAAACATTAATTAATGTTATCATTTAAAGCTACACACTTACAAATAGTAGAAAAATCTAAACCGTGTTTAGAATTACTTACCTCGCATATATGCTTTTATCCTTGGGATTTGAGCCACTCGCTTCAACTGCTAGTTCCTGGCCATGAGCTTTATCGTAATTCAAATCTGTATCTAGCGCATAACCTAATTCCAATTCTTGACATTCCGCTTTATATTTACACTAAAAACAATGACAATTTCATTACTACCTGAACTTATGAATTGTACCTTTAGATTTTATGACATATTTCAATATTCACTTGAGTAACAGTTGACGATAACAATTGATCATTTTTCGTTAGTCTTGTGGGATAGTGCAATAAGATTAAATGTCTCAAATCATCACTTAAATACACTGGTATCTGAAATGAAATGAAAGGAATTATTTAAAATCATCAATTAATGTTTCTTATTTGTACTCACTTCTTTTATAATTTTGTCATTAGATATCTCCACATCCATTTTGACAAAAACCCGAGGAGCTTTAACAAAACAACAAATTTTTTAATGTTTTATCTACAGCCTATAGGTAACTATTTATTTATTTACATAATAATTTATTTAACACATAACTGATGTTTTAAACAAAATCGAATGACATGTTCCACACATTTAACCGGATTGATATCAGTCATCAGCACGCGACTATAAAGTAAACAAAAACGTAGATTATTGATAACTCTTATCAATAGAAACAAAAATCATGATGGCAGATAATATGATATGATAATATTATAATAATTTAAAATTTAGAATTTAGGTCGGCACATAGACCACAGTCGCGAAAGAGCATAGTAGAGAGGTCACAGGTCTAAATGAATTATTATAATTGAAAGTGATAAAATCACTTATGAACGCTTCGATGCGTGTTTAAACCTAGCTCAGTTTTAATCAGTACAGTCCAAACCTAGCACAGTAAAAAAAAGTAGCTATTAAAGTAAGGTCCAGTGTCGAAGGGTTTATTTTTTTATCACTTTCAGTTATAATAATTCTTGAACACCTATGACCTTCCCGTCCGCTTTGTACAGGCTTTTTTTGTTATATAGTGCTCAAGTTGCTAGAATGTCAGGAGCTAGTTTTATCCAATAGGGTGACCACTGACCACTTCTTTCTCCAGACGTTTGCCCGCCCAGCGAGAGAAACATTCAAAATTAAATTTAATAGAAAAGTCGAAAAAACGAACTATATAGTTGAAACAATTATGTGTAAACTGTAAAAATATGATAATTTTCCGTTTTTTTCGACTTTTATATGAAATTTTGCCTCTTATTTTTGTTTTTTTTATTGGGCGTTTTTATGGAGACCCAATTTGAAATTTACTTTATGTAAAATTATCTCAGCTTTCTGAAAAAGATATACGAAAAATTCTCAAATTTTGGGCAGCATGAAAAAAACTACATTTTAGAGTATAAATTAAATTTTAATAACTTTCTGTTACGTAAAAATCAATATTTTTTCAGAAAGCTGAGATTATTTTACATAAAAAAAAATATTTTTAATAATTGTTTTGATGGCCGAAGATACTATAAAAAATTCATAAAAAGAGGTGTCAAGAAGAAAAACTCAAAATATATTTTACAACCATGGCCAAAATAATAAAAAAAAAAAATCCAAAATAATTGGAGAACACTTTTTTTATTGTAACAGACATGTATTGTAATTATCAAAAAAATCGAGGGGAGGGATGTCGGACTAAACTTTGTTCATAATTGGCGTACCTTCTAAGAATTGTTTGAAATGCTTATCTTAAAAAAATGGGCAAAGATTTAAAATTTTATGAAATAAGGCCTAAGTATAGCTATTATAATTTATATTTGAAAATATACCCGAAAACTTCAATAGCCACACTTTTTTTTATTGAGGAAATTCCAAAAAACTAATACGATTATAATTACATTGTTGTTTTTTAGTGATTTTTTTTAATTCAATTTTTTTTTCATCATTACATTACATTCAATTTACATAAGGTTTATGTTATTAATGTTCTTGGTTCTTTTTTTTTCATTGTTTTGCTCGTATTATATATACCTATATATATTTTATATCTCTATCTTGAGTACTTGTTCCTAATTTGTTATACCTAGTTTATTCATGTGAAAAGTCCGTTTTAATTTTATCCCTCCATCTTTTCCTAGGTTTTTAATTGTCTTCTTTTTTTTTTTTCTCTTTGTATGACCGTACCATTTAATTGTTTTGCTTTTTATATTTTAATTTGTAATCCGCCGCACCCCTGTTTCTTCTCGAAGCCCTTTAATTATATCTTATTCTCCATTCCGCATTCGTTCCTTTCCGTATCAAAAATATAACCACGATATACCTTATTATTAAATAGAGAATAAAATCAGTAACATACGTTAAATAGTACCTATTCTACTTTTTGAGCGTATAAAAATTGTGGTTTTGAGCGTTACAGTAATTATTTTGAATTTTATTATACACCGCTATTACCCTCAATTTATTATCGCGTTACTTAAATTAGTTTATGACCGTTTTACGTTTGGTTAGTGCTATGAAAATAATCAACTATATGTTCACTATATTATGTATATATCCATAAATCACCATACGTCGTGTACCACGACTCGTCGAGGATACTATAAACTCGAGAAAGTCTAATGGTCAACAGCAGATACACAACGAGTTACTCTTTGAATTAAATTACTCGCACAATTATTATTTAATAGTTTTTACGTCTAGTGACCTAAGCACAAACCACATGGCATCTGAATCACCCACTTAATTGCGTAGATGGCATTCGCCATGAGATTCGAAAAAGCGACGTGTCTTAATTTATAAAACGTACTATAAATTCAAAAAAAATGTGTAATAACTATTAATTGTGTTTACTCTATTTTTAGTTACAAGCAATATGAATATCGAATGCATTTAAATATACTTTTTACATAGGTACATTTATATTCAACCAGCTCTCGAGGGGCAACATTTTTAGAGATGTCTGATTTTTTGGCACTTGCCTCGTTTAAAAACTCGCGTTATAAAAGGCCTTATACAAAGGGAAAAGTAGAATATTCTATCCTTATCTTATCTTCTATTCTAAGGCGCCAAGCTCCTAAACAGACTTTTCGTTCTAAACTTCTACAAAGTATATAAAATGTCAAAAAATAAAAAATATATGCATACAGGTACCTGCATTGGCCGTTAAATGTTTATTTATTAGTATTAAAGAACTTGTTGTGTACGGTTGACTATAGGACTACTACAGCTTCTGTAAGAAAAAACACACAAATGTATTTACATATTTTATTGAAATCCTCGAGGAAAAACATAAAAATGACAAGAAAGTTAATACTTGAAGTAAACAAAATATCACATTCAGTGTCATAATAATTCAAACCGCGCAGCAGGCTGCTGTACAGGTACATTATTAATAACGTACAAATAATTAAATTTAAATTTAAAAAAAAAAAATACACAAACGGGTATCGATGACTTTTCTTGTCAAGTTGGTTAATTTATACCGATTACAAAACTAAGCCTGTTGTACAGAAAACTTGTTAAAGATAATATGTTACTCGTCGCCGTCTACCGCCACTATCAATTTTTTGAAAGAACAATAATGAAAAAGGACACATTTAAAAGTACCAAAAATGTTAAAAGTATTGATACGCGTATATTTCTATTATATATCAGTTAAATAAAATGACTGTTGTTGTGAATTAAATATTAAACTTAATTTAGTTACCTCACTAATTGTAATATTAGTAAATATAGCACACAGTTATTATTATTCAATTACCAATTAGTAAGGGTATAAATATCAACAAAGTAATCATAGTATAGTATAGTGACAATAATAATTTATAATTGAATCGTAATTAGATTACAAATTATTTTTTTTTTAAATAAGTAACAGCTCGTAGTAATAGGCACAATAAATAACTCGTACTATTGTTGTTTAAAAGTAATAGGATGAGTTAGGTATCGCTAGTTAAAAATTAAGTAATTTTTTAATCCGAATACAAATTATTATTGTAATTATAACATATATTACATTGCTGATTAATGTTTTTTTAACCACCCCCAGGCTTCTATCTCATCAACAAAATATGTAATATGTATTATGTAAGAATACGGCGATTAGAATTATTGTATGTAATATAAAGCCTTATTAGGATGGTTATAAAAAAAAAAAAAACATTTCACCAATAATCGTATCACGATTGTGATTCGATGGCTCAATAGTTATTGAATAATTAAGTCAAGAAAACTTGTTTGTAATCGATTATGGAATTTAATAATCAATGTAATCAATGACGCCGGTCGTTGATCAAATTATTAGCAAATCGTTGATGTTTGATTAATGTATCAATATATATATATATATACCTATCAGCAAAACTTGATATTGTTATTTGCCATTTGGCATAATACATCCATCTCAGAAGCGTTTTCGATGATAATTTTCATCGAGGTCAATGCATGTATGATGACGTTGTTATCTATTATTATAGATATGTGTATAATATATTGTATTATGAATAGGTAGTCCATCTAGTAGGTGAGTCTATCTGGCTGCCTGTTTCTGTATTTTCTTCAGCAGTTCAGAACCGTTGTCCGTTTTCAACGTTACTCGAATGCGATTCTCGATCGTACAAACACACGTCTTGTATGTGTTATGTATAAAAAGTGTTCGTCTATTCTCGGTACAATAAAGTATTAAACGAATACACTTACACGTGTGTTGTACATCATACACAATTCTAGTGAAACCCGTGCGGTTATATAGGTAGCCGCGCTACACCGAATTCCTCAATCCTCTTTAACTGCGATTCGCCACCGCGATAGGACTTAATGCTTGTAAACAATAATAACATAATGTATTCGAACGCGCAATCATTTTACAGGATGTCTCTGGCGACCACGTACACCCGACCCATTTGCCATTTGTCAGGGCAACGGCAAACGGATAAGTAGGTACACACATCTATATTATCGGTATAGGACGTGCAACGGGTGTACCCACACGCTGGTCAAGCAGCGATTTTCGCACTTTCCTACTTTCCCGACACCCAATACGCTTAAATACTTTTACTTGTAACCGATTGCGGTGTCTGTGAAACCAAGTAATAGATGGTAAATTCATCATCGGCGATAATGCTCGCGTCAATTTTTCTAAAAACAATGCGTACGGGCCCAATATAGATATATCTAAAATACATTATACGTGCACACACACACACACACACACACAACAAGCGTGCGGGCAATGAGAAACTATTAAAAAAAATGATATTATACGGTATATACTTGTACGGCGCCCGTACTTACCTACCTACTCGTGTACAGTATCTGTTCGGGGATGCTGTTTTGCGGCCGCACCGAAGACTTGCGCAAATTGCACACAAGCGAATATGTTTAGAGGTTAAGCGTGTAATCGATTCGTGTGTGTCGTTGTTGGTTTATCGATAAACCGAGTGTATTTACAATAATAATAATAATATAGTTTCACTACGTAAATGCGTATAATACGGCCGCGCGTGTGCGGTTCGTCCATTAACATTCCTCGGGTTTGAGCAAACAGATAACCTTTTTTTTTTTTTTTTTAATTTTATAGATATTTAATATCCTTTCATTAATCCTAGAACGCCAAACGGACGCTGACCTATTTTATTAT